ACCCCGGCCCTGCAGCTCCATTTCCCTCGTCCTGGAGTGCAGCAAACGCGCCCGGGCTTGGTGTGCAGGCACAGAGCTCAAAACGGGGTGGCAGAGCAGGATGGAGGGTCATGCCACAGTAGGGCAAGCTTTTGAAGTTAAGCTCTGCTTTATTTTTGTCATTATTATCATTATTAATTCCTAGATTGCAAGTCCTTCTAGAGGCCCCAAATGGATTCTCTCTACCATATCCCTGAGCAAAGACTTTGGGATCAAGCCCCACTCTTGAAAGCACTTCTACACGTAAGCGGAAGACCCCATGTGCCAGTCCCCGACTCCTCAAAGCCCCTGGGCAGGGGCCTAAGGAGACCCACATCTCCCTGCACCCAGGCTTGCAGCTGGGCTCAGCACCCCATGATCCCCCTTTTCCTGGGAAAAGGCTTTGGAAAAGCTTCCCCGCTTCCCCTCGATTGCTGGGCCTGCTGCATGCGTGCGTACGGGGCCAGGAAGGCGACGGCAGCCGGGCAGGGCAGGGCAGGCAGCGCACAGGGCAATGCCTCTGGTAAAAAAAATGGCACCTTCCATTTTTTGGTGTGCCTGAACACCGTTTATGGCATCTTCTGGGAAATGCAACAGCAAAGTGCAGTCCATCATCGGACCAGCCCTTCTCCCCATGCCCACACGCCGTGGGGGGCACACGCACTGCCCTGTGCCCCCAGCCCACCTCTGGCACAGCGTCCAGAGCTGCCCATGCCAGCCAGCAAAAACACCCATAGCCCCAAGAAATGGAGCCGAGATGGAGCCTGCTCCCACCACTGAGGTTCAGCCCCATCAGCCTCACCCAGCTCCCTCCCGCCCTGCCAACCCCCCGCATCTCCGCAGCAAGGGGAGACCCCGCGGTGAAACCCCAAGGGAACAACGAGGCACACGGGACGCCGGCAGCGGGCACGCCGGGGAAACGCCAACTCCGGTCCCAGGGGCTTAACCTGATCCTAAATGGGAGGTCAGAAACCAGAGTTGTGGTCACAAACCCATGCCTCTCCCTTCCCACCCAAGCTGCCTTCTCTATATGCGCCATTGAAAAAGCAACTGGTTTGCAACATCGCTAAACGTGGTGCTTGGCTTCGCCCCGCGCTGAAGAGCTCCCCGTTTCTTCCTCTCCTCTAGGCCCTGCTCAAACCACCGTCTCCACCAAGATAACAAGCAGAACACCAAAGAGGCCATGTGTCGTGGTGGCCCTGGACGTGGCATCCTTTGAAGCTGCAGTTTCATCAGCTCTGGGATGGCTGAACCCATCCGAGAGCCATGCACAGCAGCGAGGAGCTAACCATGCGTATTACTGGGTGCCTGGACTGGACGACCTGGGCTAATAATATGAAATAACACGTGAGTGAATTTGTTGTTGCTGCCCAATTACACATTTTTCAGGCCTGGGAGTGGCTACCATTGGGCACGGAAAGCAAACTTTCTGCCAAACCCACGAGCCGAGCAGTAAAAGCCATTTCTAGGCACAACAAGCAGTTACAAATTATTAGAATTACTAATATTTTTGCTGCTGATGATGCCAAGTACCGACATGCCACTGTGCCAGATGCTACTGAGCCATACAAAATGATCCTTTCCCGGGAGAATGAACAGCCTGTGTCCCCTGGGCCCCTTGCGATGGTGGCGGTGAGAACGCCTCCAGCGCAGGACCTCCAACCACCACAAGTTGATTGATCACCTCCTGCTACTTACATCTTGAACTTGCTTTGAAACGATGTTGGCATAAAAAGCTCTCAGTCCCATTTACTACTATAGCACAGCAAATTAAGCCATTATAATGGAGGCTGAAAACCTTGGACTTTTCCACCTTGGAAGAAAATCTCATTAAGTATCATTCATTATATTTCATTAAAATGTCATTTAACCAACTAGTTTTCTCCACGTCCCATTGTGCAAGAATACTGCCCTGCACTGATGCCCTGGGCGTGCACCAAGCGATCGAGTAACTCAGCCAGGTACTTAATTTACTGCATTATTTGGGATCGCACGTGCGTAAGAGCAGCCCCCCCAAAGACCTGTCTAGCCCACCATCCTCTTTATGACAGTCACCAAAAAGGGATGCTTTGGGAACAAAATTAGAGGAGGGCAAGCCCCTGGGGACAAGGCTTTGTGTGGAAGTGCCCGTGGAGCAGTTTGTCCTCCCCAAAGCTGCGGTGGCCCCGTTCATTTTCTGCATGTCCAGTCAGGGAGTCTATTTTCTCCTCCTGTCAACGGGGAAGAGTCACTTAGTGCCTGAGGTTTGAAAGTAATCCGATGAACTAGGCAGGCGGTGGCAG